GTCAATAACGTACAATGACACGTCTGTCCCCTTACGTACGTGCTGTGCAACCAATTCAATAGGACTTCAATCGAAAAACTACTTTGCTAGAGTAATACAATTTATTGAAACATTAAATCATAATGATAATACTTAATCATAATAGAACCAAACCTGGAATGCTTTTGAAGACAGACACACATGGGTCTGTATAATAGATGGTGCATTAGCACTATGTAGTAATGTTGTAGTGTATTCCCCACTGACGTCATTAATACATTCATAACATACAATTGTGTACATTATAATAACCATGTATTCGTGATTAAAATGAACTGAAACTGATATTTTACCGAATATTGCACGCAGCGTGTATTACAATTAAAAGCAGCATGTATTAAGCGTAAACATATGATTTGTATAAAATATCTTGTTATGACATACATATTTATTTGTTCATTTGTCAAGAAAACGTATTTATTTATTTATTATTATTCAGCTAGTTAAAGTTAGTTAATTAGTTATAGTTAGTTACAAACTGTATCTTGGTTTCAACACTTCCCATTGGATATTGAATATATAATGTGGATTGCACTTATGGTCTTCTATACAAATACGTGGTGGGCATAAGTTGTGGTACTCTGTGGAATACAGTAGACCGACGGTTACGAAGGAAAAATAACCAATGGAAATGCTTTGTCATAATTCGTAATTCCAAATTAACTACTAATTACTATCAATGGAAGTGTAGTGAGGACAAACTCAGATTCAGATCGGTATTTCGACCATCTGATTCAGATGATATTGGATATGATTTAATTAAACATTTTGATTAGTTACGTTATCTATACTGTGATTCAAGTGGAATACATTATATTCCACAGTATGTTGCTGTATTTCAAAATTGAATGTGTTTATCATGCCAATTATGACGCGTATTGAACATGACTAAAGATGTATAGTCACACCTTTCCACATTCACAGCAATATTTGATTACAGTACGCTGGTGTTACAGTTAGACTTCGATTCTCCAGTCTCTACAGCATTGAATATCATTGTAAGAATGTATGTGTAGTTGTTTACAGGTTTTAAAGGGACACTTCCAGTTAAGCCTAATCTCATAACAAATTTACTTTCTGTATTAAAATTACAAGAGATAACAAAAGATAGATTAACTTTGTAAACAACATAAACAATATTGTCCCATGATTCTTTGGTGCAATCCATGGGTTGAGCGGTTCCCCTTTAAGCGAATATTGACAAATATCAAGACTTCTGAATAATCCTGACATTTTTGTATTTATCATGCTGCGAATCATATAGCGAATTAGGTAACACGTTATTCGTAAAATACTCATTTTGTCCGAACGGTCTGTGAAAGATTAATTAATACATTGCATAATTTGAATGTGATAAACAAATAAAACAAATAACAGTAGTATGAGCATCGGATTGGATTTCCAATAGCAATGCACACAGCTGCTCATTAAATGGTAACTCAATGCAATAAAAAAGACCATACTTAATCTTGATGGAACTCTTGTCTTTTATTTTGTCCAACCTTCAACTCAATTATTATGAAGAAAGAACTCTAATAAGGACATCAATACATGCCGTCTGTCTTTAATTACCCCCCGGTGTTGATGTATTCAACGACATGGCTATAAGTGATCGCCTCCTGTTACAGTTTTTTTTTAAAACCTGATTTTGGCAATTATAGAGAATCAATTCCGAGTGGCATTAACGGCGCAATACAAATAAAAGTTTCGGTTATTATTGAGTATTTTTTAACTAAAGTAATTTGTGAAATAAATGTTGTATTCAAAAACCATGCAGTTGTCAAAACCCAGGTGTAACTTTAGAATTTGAATGAATTGGGTTTTCCGCCAATAAGATGAAGAAAAAAAATAGTAGGTTATTTGAAATTGCCCCAACGTTCCCCAGATTGTGGGGTGAGGTATGTTTAGCAACGAGTTTGAATCGTTTTTGAAATAATCGTTCAAATAATATATTGGAATTGTCCAGTAAATATTGAGAAGTCCTGGAAACGCTCGCAAGCGTGTGACGTCATAGTCAAAGTAATATTTATATTCATACCTGTCATTTCATTAAACCCTTATTCCGAGCAGTAGACAAAAAACGTAAATATACATTCGAATTTGCATAACAAACAAACAAGTCGAAACATACACATTAGGAAAGATCATAACAAAGAATTGTCAATAACATCATCCAGAATACTAGTAGGTTTTAGCTCAAAACTAAGTGAAGGAAACCCTTAATTTACATAGTTTGAATACTACAATCTTCCCCCTCCTATATTTGGTCTATCCCTTATCTCGTTTTCCAATATACAGGTATGTGACAAACGTGTGCAAACGTTAAATATTTTTTTGTCGAACTGACGATTTTGAGAAATCTTACTTGTTTATCTTCATACCCGAGTCTGTAGCCATGGCTATATATCACCGTTGATTCTAGGGGTGAAATGTCGTAGAGGATGCAAATCCCGTTCCATCTATTGTAACCAATGCTATAGCATATACCGAGGTTTTCATCAAAACACTGCGTGAAACACTGCTTATACTCGATACTTTGTGACGACTAAGTTCGTTGCTGACGTTCAATCCCGCATCTGAAATTGACACAATATCTATCCAACCCGGTGTGCAGGTTGACGCGTAAAAGACACACACAAGAAAGTAAAGTCCACTCTGAGCAAGTGATATCCAAGCCATTGGTTTCCCTCCAAGCAGTCCAAGTACTCAATAACTGCCTTGAAGTATCCACTGTAGTATGACATCTAAAACTGGATTGGAGTTA